AAAAGATCAGTTAAGCCATGTAATGGGATCAGAACACTGTCCCAACAATGGTGAGACAAAGCAACCTATATCACTAAATCATTCTGGCTGGTGGTGTCAACCCATCACGGATATCCGTGAATGAGGATCATCCCTCTGCATTGATGTACAATATCCACCAGGAACTCCTGGCTTTGTCTTGGTGGCGCTGGCTTATAGACACTAACATGTTCCCATATTTTCCCCATTATGAAATTACAATTACCATGCTTGTAATGGTCTACTGCAATCACCTTCTGGTCATCAAGACTGGCAATATAAATCTTGGAATTATCAGCCATATGGCTGATAACTATCTGTGGCACTTGGCCGCTGGCTGGTTTTGGCTGGTGCATACATCATATACCCATTTCAAGCAACTGAGTTCGCAGAATTGAGCCGTCCAACTCACCAGTTTGGTTTTCACAACTATCCCATATCGTTGCCGATTAAATGCCAATGTTCCATAACTTTCCTGGATAGCTATAGCTGGTTCATCTCCCCCTTCAACCATTCGAATTCACCTTCCAGCCAAATCGGTCCCCAAAAGATTCAGAAGCTTCTCTTCCTTGGCCAGTTTGGCATCCCAACACCATGAGTAATTCACGGCACCTGGCGCGAGAAAAAGCTGGTCTGACACATGTGTCTGAAAATAAGTGATTTTCCAACAGGAAACATGGTGGTAAACAAATCAACGAGAACGGGGATATGCGATGCGATTCAATGTTGCAAGAGGATGTATATTAGGATTTGCAACCAATAAGATGGGACTTAGCCAACAAAAAAAATGCGTAAGCATCACCAGCTAGAAATTTAGCCAAAGAGAATATCATGGGGATGCACCATAGAAATTACATATATACTAGAAAACTGAAACTTAGAATGACGTTTTGTTTTCCAACATTTTCAGTGGAACACTTAGAATGAGGGTTGTTAGAATGACGTACCAGCAACATTTTTATAATATATAGATTTATAAAGGAAAAAGGAAAGGAAAAAGGAAAGGAAAAGGGAAAGGAAAAAGGAAAGGAAAAGG